ATGAGGCCTACCCACATTCTGGAGGGTAATCTGCTTTAATTTAAATTAAATGTTAATCTCATCTAATAAACACCTTCACAGAAACATCTAGAATGATATTTGACCAAATATTTGGGCATCGGGGCCCAGCCAAGTTACATAAAATTAGGCTTCATAAGTCCACCCCTTGCCAAGTCCACCCCTTGCCAACTTGGCACCTATATGCATCTCCCTAAACGATACTTAATATCTGAAAAAAAAAACAGTAATAAGGACATACTTCCACCTAACATAATACAACTATCTTGCATACAACCAAAAAATACACAAATCCTTTCCCAGAAGAGGGTGCAAAGTCTTGCATAATGTTTACTTTTCTCCCTTATATCCCACAACTTAAGTATTATGATGTAAAGTTAGTAATACTTATATACTATAAGGTCAATACATCTTATATTACATGATAATGGTATAAAAAAGGAATAAAGATTTATATACATACATACACACAACAAAATAAACACTCATGACAATTATAGTCCAATTTCTGAAACTGGTCCCATGGTTGTGGTAGGCATTTATAACCACCTTCTTCCATCACCCATTCCATATTCCCTTTGCCCTTAGCAAGCTCCTCAGTTGGTCATGGTTCTTTATTTGGTGGGGTGACCCAAAATTCATTCTTGGGTGTGTGGCCCATGAATAAGCCTGCCTTTATAGTTTGTAGTTTGCCATTCACCTTAATCATAGGGCAAGGTAATATTAAGAGAAGCCCCAAAGGATCTCCTATACTCTAGACATACTCCTCCTTATCACCCTTGTGGAGTAGCAGTCCAACCTCCCCTTGGTAGTTAAGATGAATCACCACAGCCAGCACCCTTAATCCCTTCTTTGCCTTTTGATTCAGAGGGATGAGAAACCCAAAGTGGTTGGGTAGCAGTCTTAATTTACAGTTAAATGGAATCATTTTATTTCCTGGTAGAAGCATTCCTTCCTTTGGAACTAAGACCTCTGTGCAGCAGAGCATAGGTTGTGGGGAGGGGAAGCAAAAATTTTGCTATTGGGTCACCAGGGGTAATAGTGAGTGGTGTCATTCCCATTTCTACCCCATGATTCCTGGCCTTATGAATCCTGACTATGGGAAAAACAGCACCAGATACTGGATGCTGATATCAGAGCATAAAGAGCCTTCTGTAGAACCATCCCCCAGCCCTGCAAGACACTGCCATCTAGCTGGCATTGTGACTGAGTCTTTAAAACATCATTCCATTCTGTCAACCAGCTTCTTCAGAATGGTGGGGAACTTGGGAAGACTAGTGAATTCCATGAAGATGGGCCCACTAATGTACTTCAATTACTGTGATATGAGTTCCTTGATCAGAAGCAATGCTATTTAGAATACCATGATACCACTATCATAAGGCATTCTGTAAGTGCACTGATGGTAGTTTTGACAGAAGCATTATGTACGGTATAGGCAAATCTGTATCCAGAATCTGTTCTATTTAGAAAGAAAAAAATATTGCCTCTTCCATGATGGAAGCAGTCCAATGTTATCAACCTGCCACCAGAGAATGGTGCCATATCGGGGACTCAGTGTTGGTCTCTGTTGCTGGTGGATTGGGCATTCCAGCAGTGGCTATAACCAGGTTGGCCTTAATGAGTGGACACTCGTGTTGCTGAACCCATGGGTAATGGCCATCACTGCCACCATGGCCACTTTGTTCAAGAACCCACTGGTGATGATAGGGTGGCTGAGGAAAGAACCGAATGGTGTCCACAGACTGGGTCATCCTATCCACTTTATTAAAATCCTCTTCTGCTGAGCATTTAACATGGGACACAAAGAGCTTCACTTTTACCCATGCAGAGAGGTCTATACCTCTTTTCCAGACTTCCTTCACATGAATTTTCCAATCATGTTCCTTCCAAGCTCCTGACCACCCAGCCAAACCATTGGCCACAGTCTGTGAATCACACATCTGACCATTTCTTCTTCCAAGCAGGAAAACAAAACAATAAAAACCCAGGTGCACTGCTTAAAACTCTGACCAGTAGGATTACTTGTGCCTTCAGAGCATACTTGGCCCAATCATTTAAACATCCCTTCCATTTTATGAGAGTGCTGCTCTGCACACCCAGCTTAATAGCTGGGTCAGATTACACCCAGTTTATGATGGTAACTTGGTGGCCCATGGTTTAGTGTTTAGTCTCTAAGTCTCAGTAGCAGGCTAAAACCTGTTTCTCAAAAGGAGAGTAGTTAACTACAGAGAATGGCATGGCTTTGGTTCAAAATCCTAAGGGCCTGCACTGTGACCCATCTGTAGGGTCCTGCCAAAGGCCCCAGACAACATCATTACCAGCGTCTGGTATTTCAAACACCCTTGGATTTAAAAAAATATATTTGTTTGACAGAGAGAGAGAGATCACAAGCAGGCAGAGAGAGGGGAGGAAGCAGGCTCCCTGCTGAGCAGAGAGCATGATGCAGGGCTCAATCCCAGGACCCTGGGATCATGACCTGAGCCAAAAGGAGAGGCTTAACCCACTGAGCCACCCAGGCGCCCCAACACTCTTGGATTTACTGGGCCTTATTGCCCAAGAGGCAAAGTGCTTGCCTAGCAGTCTGGACCTGTTGCAGAGTCACAGAGCCTTCTTTTGTTCTGGGCCCTACTCAAAACTAGCAGCTTTTCACATCACTTGGTAAATGGGAAGTAACATACCCCAGTGAGAAAGAGGTTGCCTCCAAAATCCAGAGGTCCACTAGGCTTTGTGCCTCTTTTTTAGTTGTAGGAGGAGCCAGATGCAGCAACTTAGAAGGGATATCATGACATGCCCCACACCACTGGATCTCTAGAAGTTTCACTGAGGTAATAGAAGTCCTCTTAAGTTTTTGTTAGATTTATTTCCCAACCCTGACATCCACCCTGACAATCCTACGTTTCCCAGATGTCTTATCAGTAAATCTATAGAGTAGTTGTCATTTCTTGCTCGCAAGGTCCAATGGCATAATGTCATCAATGTAATTGACCAATATGACATCTTGTGGAAGGGAAAGAGAATTAAGATCCCTGTGAACTAAATTATTATACATGGAAACTAAATTATAGGGCTGGGGAGCTGATGTACCCCTGAGGTAGGATACTGAAGTTATTTACTTGTTTTTGCCAAGTGAAAACAATTGGTTCTGGTTGTCTTTATTAACAGGGATGGAGGGGGAAAAATAACAGATCAGTACTCACATGGCAGGTACCAAGGAAATGTGTTAATTTGTTAATTTGTTCAGGTAATGAAAACACAGCTGGTAAAACAGCTGCAGCTGGAGTCACCACCAGCTTAACCCATCGTCATTCTCCAAAATTTCTCTTGTCTGCAGAGGCCAAATAGGCAAGTTGAATGGGGATATGCTGGGAATTCATCACCCCTGCATTTTTATGTTCTTAGTAGTGGCACTAATCTCTGCAGTCCCTCCAGGAATGCAGTATTTCTTTTGGTCTATTTATTTTTTTTATTTTTTTTTTTTTAAAGATTTTATTTATTTATTTGACAGAGAGAGATCACAAGTAGATGGAGAGGCAGGCAGAGAGAGAGAGAGAGAGAGAGGGAAGCAGGCTCCCTGCTGAGCAGAGAGCCCGACGCGGGACTCGATCCCAGGACCCTGAGATCACGACCTGAGCCGAAGGCAGCGGCTTAACCCACTGAGCCACCCAGGCGCCCCAGGTCTATTTATTTTTAAGTAGAGGTAGTTTTGGTAGTTTCCACTTGTCCTTTCCTCACTCAGCAGCCAGAGAGACAGTGCTGAGTATGTCTGTTTCAATTATCCATTCCAGAACTGGGGGGAAAACCACAGGATGGATTCAGGCACGTGCTGGGTCTGCTGTGAGATGGACCTTAACATTGATCACAGATCTCCTTAAGCCTCTACCCTGACTGGTAGACCAGTGAGGTTTTTTGTCTCCTGGAATTAGTGTTAGCTCAAAGCCAGTGTCCACGGTCTGATTTTTTCCTTTTCCTCAAAGTATGGTCTCCCTAGTAAAGGCTGTGGGTTCCTTTAGGAAGACAGGGGGGAAAATTACCAGCATAAATTTTCGGCAATGTAGCAGGGTTTTTCATTCAAGGTGTTCTGAGTCTGTATACTGGGTCAAGTCTGAGAATTGACTGACAGTCCATGACTTTTTATTATTCAAGTTAGACTTTTGTTCACTTGACTAGAACTCTTTCACTTACACAGATCAACTAAGATTTAGACTTCTCATCTGTTTCACTTCCACCAAAGTCTACTAACCATACTCTCTGTAACAGAGATTTAAAAAAATCTTTCATGTCATTTTGCATTCATCGCAATAAGTTATTTCATATTTTTAAAATCCACATTTTAAGTTATACTTAAATTTTAAAAAATTTCCACTGGAGGGGCACGAGGGTGGCTCAGTGAGTTAAGCCTCTGCCTTCGGCTCAGGTCACGATCTCAGGGTCCTGGGATCGGGTCCTGGGATCAAGCCCCGCATCAGGCTTTCTGCTCAGCAGGGAGCCTGCTTCCCCCTCTCTCTCTGCCTACTTGTGATCTATCAAATAAATAAATGAAATCTTTAAAAAAATTTCCATTGGAAACTTAATTTTTAAGTAAAACCTATGCTTCAGGAAGCTTAACTATCATCGTCTTTTTAGAGGTAAGTGAAGAGGTTGAGAGGACTCAATCTCACACTCATAATATTGCAGTCTCTCATATAGTTACTACACCCAGATCACAACCACACACATTATCTTCCATCCAGATTTTAACTTGCGTAAGTTACACTCAAACACACACAAACAAATTTACCAGATCTCTTACATGATCTCCCAGTCATACTCAGTTAAAACTCATACATCAACCTCAAAGTCACAACGTTTAATCACCTGCCCTTGCACGGTCATACAATTCATGCAGAGACTTGGGTACAGCCACAAACCACTTTGGATATCTCACTCAACACCTTGGACAATATCAAGTGCAAACCAACTCATACATGTGATCAAGAATCACATCCAGAAACACAACCACTTGTTCTCCCAGATAAATTTCTTCACATGGCACTTTGAGATAGGAGATTTGCCTCTTCTGGCAGATAATCTGTATTAGTTTCCACCCTTCTCAGTTCTGGTTTCTCATACTTAGACCCCACAATGTTGCTTCACTCCTCTTCCACGCACACACGAAAGATTCAGGATCAGCTCCGCCTAGCCCAGGGATCGGTTTCGTCCGTCAGGGATACCAGCCTCCTCCCTTCTCAAGACCGGCACCTACCACAGCCAACCCCTCCTGCTAGTCATAGGTAGACCCAACGCAAACAGCCTCCCACAGAGCGTTACAAACTCACTGCCCGCACGGTCGCGCCACCCACAAGCATGCGTAATCAATCACAAGTCTCAAATGCCCCTCGCGCCTAAGCCACGTTATAATACACCACTTCACAATCACTGCGCGCGCCCCCATGCGGGTATACAGCACGACCACTATTTCAAACGGTCTCAAAAACGTTCACAAACTAATTTCCTCACTCAGGACACAGTCGGTGTAACACACACATCCTCTCCCTGCCTATCAAAGACGTCTTCGGCCACTCGCATCTTCGGACTCAGAAAACAACCGCATTGCCACCTTACAGACGAAGGCTGGATCCTTCCGCATCGGATAACAATTCTCAAACTACAGCACGTGCGCGTCCACCTTGAGGGGGTAGGGACAGCTACGGTGCCAGGCTTGAAATCCGCCCTCAGAGAAATCCGAGGTCCCAAAATCAGACCCAAATTTCGGGTCTGAGCCTTGGAAGGGGAGAGGTTGTAGAATCACTCCAGGCTCGGAGTGAAACTGCGCAGGTGCATCCCGAAATGCGGCGGAAAATTTACCTCTTTCAGCTCCCGGGTGCTTTCCTTTCGGACTACGTTTCCCAGAGGACACAGCGGTTCAAAGCTGCTTCCGGTAGAAACGTTGGCAGAGTGGTCGGCTGCTGAGGCAGGTGAGAGCTTTTTACCCAACCAGCAGAGCGTGCAAGACTAGGCGTGCGGTCTCCGGTGGAATGCGAATCAGAATTTGGACCAGAGCCCTTCCTGAGGATGATGAAGGTAATGACTCCTGGAGCTCCAGGCCTTGGCAAGAGGAGTGTCTGGAGTGTTAGGCCTCTGAAGTGCGGGAGCTGCTCTAGGGAGGGTAAATTGGGTGGTTGTAAGCGCGTGAAGGGAATTTTGTCTCCGGACTAAGTGTATTTGGCGGTTAGTCTTGAGAGCGACTGGATTCGGGAGCGTGCTTTTGTGACAGTGTACTTGTCTGCGTGACCATTTGTGTGAATGGACTTTGTATGTGATTGTGACCATGATTGCGGGTGGCTATTTCTGTAAGCCTCAGATACTTGAGTAAATGAAAAAAAGAACAATTACACAAAGCGTTACACCCAGGTTTACATAATCAGGCAGTTAGGGAGACATTCCAGTATCCAACTGTAGATTCATACAACACAAAGCCAAAAAGACATAATCCAACCCACGTTTATCATAATCGCACAGCCTAAGACCCAGACACCTATATAGTAATACAAAACGACCACTCCCCAATCACAACCACCCCCTTATGCCCACTTAACCCTCATCCCCAACAGTTATCTGTAGAGCTTAAACACATCCTCAAGTATCATAGAATCACAGTTACTACCATGGTCACAGACAATGTCTACTCCACATCACACACAAGGTCACACAAAGTTTGAGCTTTAAGAAGGGCCTGGTTGGGGGCAGCTGACTGGCTCAGTCAGTAGAGCATGGGATTCTTGATCTTGGGGTTGTGAGTTCAGCTCCACATTGATTTTACAGATTACTTCAGAAAGGCCTGGTGTCTCATAGTTCTTCTCTACCTCACTAATTCTGCCATTCACCTTAGAAACACCTAGAGTAGGAGGAAAGAATAGCACTGTTGCACATCCAGAATCAGTGTCTAAGAAGTCTGTGGGGACTGGGCATAGTAGACATGAAGAGGGGAGAAAAATGTCATTCTATATTAGCACTTTGGGAGCTAAGAAGCAGGATCATCTCATGTCTTTTTTTTTTAAATCCCTCTCATCCAGCAATATTTTTCTTTGCGCTGAGAGTTTCTTCTAAAGTGGAACTAAGAAGAGGACTAATACATTGAATTCTTAAAAACATGGCCCATGTAAGTTGATTTTTTTTGTTCCTAATTGATGTCCTTTTTTCCCTATAGTATATTTGCATTCTTTTTTTTTTTTTTTTAAATATTTTATTTATTTATTAGACAGACAGAGATCACAAGTAGGCAGAGAGGCAGGCAGAGAGAGAGGAGGAAGCAGGCTCCCTGCAGAGCAGAGAGCCCGATGCGGGGCTCTATCTCAGGACCCTGGGATCATGACCTGAACCAAAGGCAGAGGCTTTAACCCACTGAGCCACCCAGGCGCCCCTATATTTGCATTCTTAATACTGATATTGTTGCCTGACTATCGTACAGACTTATTAGTGAGTAAGTATTGGTTTCAAAATTTTAAAGTCTTCCTTTTTTGCTCCTCTCCTTTCTAACTCAGTGTTCCTGTAAGTAGTCAACGAAATACATACAGAACTGTAAGATAATAAATTTGTTGTTTTAAGCTACTGTATTTGTTACAGCATCAGTAGAAAGTGAACACACCATCTGAATTTGGAGTTTTCTTCATGGGGAGACTGATTGCTTAAATTGATACAGGGCTTTTGGGAGTTTTCTTTCTTTCTTTCTTTCTTTTTTTTTTTTTTTTTGAAGATTTTATTTATTTATTCAAGAGGGAGGGAGAGAGAGAGCAAGTGCACAAGCGGTGGGGAGGGGCAGAGGGGAAGCAGTCTCCCCACCTAGCCCAGAGCCTGAGCCCAACAGGGAGACTGATGCATGGTTCACTCCAAGGACCCCAGGACCATGACCCGAGCCAAAGGCAGAGGCTCAAACAACTGAGCTACCCAGGCACCCCAGTCTTATTTCTTCTTGAATCAGTTTAGTAATTTGTGTCTCTCAAGAAATTCATTTATTTCTATTTAGTTACCAGATTTGTTAGTATAAAGTTGTTTATGATATTCCTTTATTATCCTTTTAATGCCTGTCAGGTCTATAGTAATACTCCCCCTCTTAATTCCTGATCTTAATAATTTATGTCTTTTTTCTTAATCAGTATACTAGCAATTTATCAATTTTATTGATCTTTTCAAAGACTAGCTTTTAGTTTTATTGATTTTTCTCTCCAGTTTGCCCTTACCTTGATTGCTATTTCATTGATTACTGATCTTATTCTTTCCTTTTTTTCTGTCTACTTTGGGTTTAATTTTCTTTTCTTTTTCTTTCTTTCTTTCTTTTTTTTTTTTTTTTTTTTGAGCTCAAGATTCCCTTTTTTCTTTTACCCATGGGCTACTTAGAAGAGCGTACTTCAACTTACAGATTTTGAGGGACTTTTTCATATCTTTTTGAGAATTTGTTTTTAATTTATTCAATTCTTTTGTGGTCAGAGAACATACTTTGTAATATCAGTCCTTCTAAATTTATTGAGACTTATTTTATGGCCCAAAATGTGGACTATCTTGGTGAATGCTCAATATGCATTTGGAAAAAAAAAAAAAAAGGCTGTGTTATACTATTGACGGATAGAGTGTTTATCAGTTAGGTCAAGTGTTTTGTAGTAGCATTCAACTCTTCTATATCTTTTCTGATTTTTTTGGTCATTTGGTCTATCAATTACTGAGAGAGGACTGTTGAAACTTACAAATACAGCTGTTGATTTGTCTGTTACAATTCTGTCCGTTTTGGGGTGCCTGGGTGGCTCAGTGGGTTAAAGCCTCTGCCTTCGGCTCAGGTCATGATCCCAGGGTCCTGGGATTGAGCCCCACATCGGACTCTCTGCTCACCGGGGAGCCTCCTTCCTCCTCTCTCTCTGTGCCTGCCTCTCTGCCTACTTGTGATCTCTGTCTGTCAAATAAATAAATAAAATCCTTTAAAAAAAACAATTCTGTCCGTTTTGCTTTATGTTTAGAAATTCTGTTAGTAGGTGCATGCATACTTAGGATTGCTATGTCCTTCTTTTAAAAGTTTACTTATTTTTAAGTGATCTCTATACCCAATGTGGGGCTCAAGCTCACAACCCTGAGATCAAGAGTTGCATGCCCTTCCGACTGAGCCAGCCAGGTGCCCCCAAATTCCTATATCCTCTTGATGAATTGACACCTTTATTATGAAATATTCCTTGTGGTAATATTCTTTTTCTTGCATTATGTTTATTAATATAACTGCTTCAGCTTTTATTGTTATTTCATGGCATATCTTTTTTTTTTAAAGATTTTTAAAAATTTATGAAGGCAGGGGTGCCTGGGTGGCTCAGTGGGTTAAAGCCTCTGCCTTCGGCTCGGGTCATGATCCCGGGGTCCTGGGATCGAGCCCCACATCGGGCTCTCTGCTCAGCGGGGAGCCTGCTTCCTCCTCTCTCTCTGCCTGTCTCTCTGCCTACTTGTGATCTCTATCTGTCAAATGAATAAATAAAAAAATCTTTAAAAAAAAAAATTTATGAAGGCAGACGCTTAATGGAGCCACCCAGGCGCCCTGCCTGGCATATCTTTTTCCATCCTTTTAACTTTCTTTAGCCTTTTTTTTTTTAAGGTTTTATTTATTTATTTATTTACTTCTTTTGAGATTTTATTTGTCAGAGAGTGAGAGAGAGCACAAACAGAGGGAGCAGCAGGCAAAGGGATAAGCAGGCTCCCCAATGAGCAAGGAGCCCAATGAGGAACTTGGTCCCAGGACCCTGGGATCATGACCTGAGCCAAAGGCAGATGCTTAACCGACTGAACCATCCAAGTGTCCCTATTTTAACTTACTTTAGGTGTATCTCATATAACAGCATACAGTTTGGTCTTGCTTTTTTTTTTTTTTTTTAATTTTATTTATGTATTTGACAGACAGAGGTCCCATAGTAGGCAGAGAAGCAGGCAGAGAGAGAGAGAGAGAGAGAGAGAGAGAGACGGGAAGCAGAGAGCCTGATGCGGGGCTTGATCCCAGGACCCTGAGATCATGCCCTGAGCTGAAGGTAGAGGCTTAACCCATTGAGCCACCCAGGTGTCCCTGGTCTTGCTTTTTAATCCAGTCTGATGATCTCTGCCTTCAAGAATCTAGACCAGAGGTTAGCAATCTGTGGCATGCTGACCATCCAGCCCATAGCTGCGTATGGTAATTTAATATTGATAAAAGTGATATCTCAAAACTGCAGGCTAAAGATAGACTTTTTTATTGAGATATAATTGGCATGTAATATATTAATTTTGGATGCACAGCAGAGTGGTTTAGTATATGGATATGTTACAAAATGATCACCGCAGTATAGGTAATATCCATTACCACACGTAGTTAGAAGTTTTCTTTCTTGTGATGAATACTTTTCAGATCTAGTCTTTTAGCAACTTTCAAATATACAAAACAGTATTAATAGCTGTAGTCACCATGTTGGGATCATGACCTGAGCCAAAGGCAGATGCTTAATGACTGAGCCACCCAGGAGCCCCACGTGTCTGATTCTTGATCTCAGCTCAGGTCATTATCTCAGGATCCTGGGATCAAGCCACGCATTGGGCTCCCTGCTCAGTGGGGAGCCTGCTTCTCCCTCTCCCTCTGCCTGCTGCTCCCCCTACTTGTGCTCACTCTGTGTCTGTCAAATAAATAAATAAAATCTTTTAAAATTTAAAAAAAAACCAGTTGGACATTTAACTGACTGAGCCACCCAGATGCCCCTCCTTTTTTTCTTCTTCTTTTTTTTTTTTTTTAAGATTTTTTATTTATCTATTTGACAGAGAGAGATCACAAGTAGACAGAGAGGCAGGCAGAGAGAGAGAGAGAGAGAGAGGAGGAAGCAGGCTCCCCGCCGAGCAGAGAGCCCGATGCGGGACTCGATCCCAGGACCCTGAGATCATGACCTGAGCCGAAGGCAGCGGCTTAACCCACTGAGCCACCCAGGCGCCCCGCCCCTCCTTTTTTTCTTAATGGTTGAATAATATTCTTGTGTATGTGTATCATATTTTCTGTATCCATTCATCCACTGGAAGACACTTAGATTGTTTCTAGTACCTGTGGGCCATTTTTATGTCTTCTTTGAAGAAAGGTCTACTCAGATCCTCTGCCCATTTTTAATTCAGATTGTTTAGGGTTTTTTGCTGTTGAGTTGTATGAGTTCTTTATATTTTGGTTACTAAACCCTTATCAGATACATCATTTACAAAAATTTTCTCCATGTAAGTTGCCTTTTCATTTTGTTAATGGTTTCACAGAAGATTTTTTGTTTGATGTAGTCCCATTTGTTTATTTTTGCTTTTGTTGCCTTTGCTTTTTTGGTATCATATCCAAAAAGTCATTGCCAAGTACCTTTACTGCCTATGATTTCCTCTAAAGGTTTTATAATTTCAGGTTTTACATTCAAGTCTTTAATCCATTTTGAGTTGATTTTTATGTATGGTATAAGATAGTGGTATAGTTTAATTCTTTGTCATGTGGCTGTCCAGTTTTCCCAGCATCATTTATTGAAGAGACTGTTCTTTCCCTTTTGTATATTCTTGGCTCCTTTGTCATAAATTAATTAGCATATATGTATGGGCTCCCTATTCTGTTTCACTGATCTATGTCTCTGTTTTTATGCCAATACCATACTGTTTCAATTATATAGCTTTGTAATGTGGTTTGAAATGAAGATATGTGATGTCTCAGCTTTGTTCCTTTTTCTCAAGATTGCTTTGGCTACTTGAGGTCTTTGATGGTTTCATACAAATTTTAGTGTTATTTGTTGTATTTCTGTAAAAAATTCCATTGGGATTTGAAGGATTATATTGACTGTAGATTGCTTTGAGTTATACGGATGTTTTACCACTGATAATTCTTCCATTCCTTAAGCATGGAAAATCTTTTCATTTATTTGTGTCTTTTTCAGTTTTTTCCATCAGTATCTTATGGTTCTCTGTATAACAATTATTTTGTCTCCTTGGTTAAAGATAGTCTATTGACAAATAGTATTGGATAACTAGAGCCATTTTCAAAAAACAAAGCCCATTCTTTATCTCATCTACCATATAAAATAAACTCTAGTTAAACTGAATGATTTAATTTTTAAAAATGTGATCGTAATATTACTAGACTAAAACATGAGAGTACTCCTTCATGACTTTGATGTGAGGAAGGACTTCCTAACTAGGACTCAGAACTCTAGGAACTAAAAGAGAAAGTAGTAACAAAGTTGATTACATAAAAATAAAAAACTTCTGCATGGCAAGAAACATTGGTAAGCAAAGTCAGAAGAGAAATGACAAAATGGGAAAGGTATTTACAATTCACATACAGACACTGAACTTATCATCTAACTTATAAAGACTAAGAAATTTTAAAAAGAGACCAATGGCCCAGTAGGAAAAGAGTCAAAAGGGCATGAATAGAGATTTCACAGAAAAAGAAACATAAAAGACCCTAAAAAAAAGAAAAATACTCAACTCATAATCCAAGAAATACCAATTAAAATTCTATTGACATATAATTTCTTTATCACATTAAATTGATAAAAACAAAATGTTGCGACAAAATGCTTTGCTGCTTTGACTGTGAGGAAATGGGTACTCTCATATATTGCTGGTGTCTGACAAAGTGGTCCAGCTGCTGTAGAGGACAGCTTGACAGGATCTACCAAAATTACAAATGCATTTTCCATTTAGACCTAGCAATCTGATTTCTGAGGCCTTCTGGTACAGATATGCCTGTATGTATACAAAGTGACATATTTATAGAAATATTCATTATACTATTGTTTGTTAGAGCAGAAGATTGGAAACAACCAAGTGTTCATCTAGAGGTGTCTGGTTAAATAAACTATGATAAAAAATGGAGGATATGTACCTATAGAAAAATTAGAATTTAAAAATCAAGCATAGAACAGTGTATATATTATAGTATGTTCCCTTCTGTGTAAAAGTGTGGAGATATATATATATATATATCTAATATATTTACTTAATATATATAAATATGTTATATATATAATATATATAAATAATATATATATGTAGAATATATATATATAGTTGCTTAAAAACATTGCAAAGACACACAAAGAAACTTATAAAATTGCTCATCTATAAGGGGTTAGGAGGTGGAAGAAAAAAGGAAAGGACAAAAGTGGGTGTAAGACATCTGTCTTTTTTTTTCTGAACCATTTAAGAAAGGAAAATAAAATATAAAAATAAAAACTTGTCATTAAGGTTGGTGGTTTTCTCTACTCATATTCGGCTACATAGATAAAGTGAGAGAATAGGAAGAGAGTTAGGATTCAGGCTTTGCTTAGCAAGTATGAAAAGGAAGTCCACATTAGGAGTCATTATCAAGTTGGAGGATTAGCTGAATATAGAATTTAAGTTGGGTAAGAAGTGGAGAAGAGGTATGAGTGTGGTGAGTGACAATGTAAAAGTGACCAGAGAGAAAGACAGTTGATGTTTTGGAGATGTCGAAGTTACTATTAGTGATGAGGTCTTGGATAGCGATACAAAGAGTGAACTAGAGTGGAAGACAAGATCATTGGAGAGGAGGTGAGGGAATTGGGAGGGCAGGAATCCTTATATAGATATTTGAAATCATTGAGAATTAAGATAGGAGTAGTGTTGGAAATGGTGGCACTGAGCCAGGAGCTAAAATTCCTGAGGGGGAAAATCTAGATGTTAGCATATTACTGCAGTAGGTAGAGATAATGCATGTCTGATGAAATGATGACATTAGATTTTAGAGGAGGGACAGTTGCTGGCACCAGCAATGAGGAGAAGAGAGAACAGAATGAGATTGAGGACAGAGTAAGATTGTAGGAGAAAAACCAGCCACTCACGTGAGATGTCCTCATGGGAAATGGTGTTGTAAGGGAGGGTTAATTGAATCAGACATGGGAAATCTTTGAACTTTTCCACAATTTTGACTTTTCCAAATAGACATTGTTAAGAATTGGTGTAGGGTGTTCTCACTGGGTGGAGAGATATTTTTATAATCCAGCTTCAGAAGTCACATAGTCGTTTCTGTTATACTTTATAAGTTGAGTAAGTCACAGCTGTTTTCCCAGGATCATGTTCAAGGGCCGAGGACATAGACCTTATACCAATGGTGTGGGGGTATGTCAAAGTTACACGGAAGAAGAGCATATGGGATGGGAGTTGTTATTCTATCTATCCTTGGAATATACAATCTGCACTGGGTATTTACTAAAGAATTTGCTTGAAAAGTAAAAATGGTTATGACATAATAGTCATACTGATGAAGAAAAATCTTCAAGTCTTTTTTCTCAAGTGGGAGGTTTCCTTAAGACATTCTGGAAAGATTATAAAATTTCCAACTATTTCACTTAGTTGGAAACCTCTACTTATTTTTTTTTTAACTTTTTAGATGACTGATTAAGTTTTCCATTCTATACAAGAAGATGTGTCTGCAGAAATTGAATTTTTAAGAATATACAGGCACTCTGCTTCATTTCCACTAAATTCCTTTTTGACCCAGGTCACAAGCTTTCAACCTTTCCCTGTATACTCACTATATACTATATATATATGCTGTTCCTTTCCTGCATGCTTTCTTTTAGCACCTCTTCTTCCTTTTGAAAAATAGCTTTTATCATTTCAAAAACAGTATTGTGCTCTGTCATTTTAGGGGTTGGTGATGTTCAAAGATGTAGCTGTAGATGTCTCTCAGGAGGAATGGGAATGCCTGAACCCCACGCAGAGGAATTTGTATAAAGATGTGATGTTGGAGAACTATAGCAACTTGGTTTCACTGGGTAAGTTTATCTGCCTCTTATAGTTTAGAATCTGTTTCTTTGAATTTCTGCTTCCTTTACTATGAATTTTAGGGCTACCTTTCAAATGATTAGATGAATTTTTTCTTTGTATAGGAATGAGCACCCTTAGATGAGGGTGTATCTTCATTTTTCCCATCCTTCCCCCGCTTCCTCTGGTCCTTATAATTGATGTTCTTCCTTGATGATTAAAGAACAGAATTGGAATTCTGTGCCATTAAAACTTATGCTTGATTATTTGATTATTTAATATTAATATTAATAAATTCATTGTTAACTAATGGTCAAAGAAGCCACTTCATCTTTTTTTTCATTTACACTGTGCTAAACCTGTGGGTGCACTAGTGTAGGTTAAAACTATATATATAGGGTCTGGGTGTGAAGCTCTTTAACTTTCCCAATTAATGTAGTGATGGACTGGGTCAAGAAATACCACTTACTATTTAGTGCTTAAATGAACACCACTCCATTTCCTACAAAAAATGTGCTCTCTTTTAAACAATTTGCATTTGGTAGTTATATGCTAAGAACTTTTCACTTAACATTGAAAAGTATCTGAAATAAGCATACTCAGGAGGTTGTTTTTTCCAAATAGCAAAGTGGAGACAGAAAGCTTACCTAATTTAAATAGCATTTTATCACCTATTTATTTGTTTTGTATTTTATCTTGAGTTTACCTGAATATGAGTATTTAATTTTTTCTTTCCTTTTTTTCCTCTTGTCTGTAGACTATCAAATACACATTTTGTGCTTTTATTTATTTATTTATTTATTAACCAATTATGAATCATAGTATTTGGGTACTTTGATTTCTCCTTCATCTCCATTTTTTTTCTTATAATCAGGACTTTCTATATCTAAGCCAGCTGTGATCTCTTCATTAGAGCAAGGGAAGGAACCCTGGATGGTTGTGAGGGAAGTGACAGGAAGATGGTGCCCAGGTGAGTAAGCAATGATCTAGAGGCAGGAAGCTATTTCATTTGGTCCGAATATTGGGCTGATAAGGTTATTTTAGACAAATTAGGGAAAACCTGATTTCAAAACTTACTACAACACTATGTATTCAAACAGTACAGTAGTGGCATAGAGACAGACGTACAGATCAGTGCAATATAATAGGGACACGTAAGTGACTTCGTGTCTAACTCTCTTGATATTCAGCTGTTGATATTCTAACTCTCTTGATATTCAAGATCTCTGCGTTGTGAGATTGAACCCCACATTGGGCTCTGTACTCAGCATGGCATCTTGAGATTTTTTTTCTCTCTCTCCCTCTGCCCCTCCCTGCACATTTGCATGCTCTCTCTAAATAAATAAATAAATAAATAAATAATTTAAAAAATGGAATGAAATAGGGGCGCCTGGGTGGCTCAGTGGGTTAAAGCCGCTGCCTTCGGCTCAGGTCATGATCTCGGGGTCCTGGGATCGAGCCCCGCATCGGGCTCTCTGCTCAGCAGGGAGCCTGCTTCCTCCTCTCTGTCTGCCTGCCTCTCTGCCTGCCTGTGAACTCTCTCTGTCAAATAAATAAATAAATAAATCTTTAAAAAAAAAAAATGGAATGGAATAAAGTTTGGAAATAAACCCCCAGATGTATGACCAAATGATTTTATACAAAGGTGCCAAGACCATCCGATGGGGAAAAGGACTGTATCCTTAACTGGATATCCATAGGCAAAAGAATAAAGTTGGATCTTTACCTTATACCATATACAAAAATTAACTCAAAATAGATCAAAGAACTAAATGTAAGACCCCAAACTAGAATAAAACATAGGGAAAAAGTTCCATGACATTGGATTTGGCAGGGATTTCTGGGCTATAACACCAAGCAAGGTATAGGAAACCAAAGCAAAAATAGACAAATGGGATTATACCAAACTTAAAAATGTCTATTTATCAAAGGACACAATGAACAGTGTTTATTAATTTTTTAAAAAATTCCTACGAGTTGCTTTTTGAGGTGACTTTTTTTAACTGTTATAGTAGTGGATCAAGAACACATGTTCTAATGGTATATTAGGAAAAATTAAGATTGATTAGAAATTGGGGAACTTAAAGAAAATTACATAGACGAAGTAGAGATAGCAGAGGGTTGGGTGCCTGGGTGGCTCAGGTTACACATCTGCCTTTGGCTCAGGTCATGATCCCAGGGTCCTAGGATCAAGTCCCACATTGGGCTCCCTGCTCCCTGTGGAGTCTGCTTATCTCTTTCCCTCTGCCCCTTGCTCATACTCTCTCTCTCTCAAATAAATGAAATCTTTAAAAAAAGATAGCAGAAGGTTGATTGGGATGGAAAGAGGTCCTCTAGGAAAGTACAGGGTCCTGGAGGCCGAAAGCAGGGCCATACTACAGATTAGAGGTCTTTGATGATATCTCTGAATCAGTATTAGTGCTTGTCTGTGTCTACAAAAACGCTTGCTGATATTTTCATAGGAATTATGTAAACCTATAGATGAAGTTAGAGAATTAACATCTTTACTCTGTTGTCTTCCAATCCATGAATACAGCATGTTTCTTCAAGAATTTTTTTAAATTTCTTTTATTAGCATTTTATAATTTTTATCATATAGATCTTGTACATATTTTATTAATTTTTTTACCTCAGTATTCCGTTTTTCAGGAGCATTTATAAATGGTATTGCCTTTTTATTTTGGTTGTTGCTTATTGTCAATGTATAGAAGTTAAATTGATTTTATATGTTGATCTTATATTCTGTGACCTTATTCAACTCAGTTATTTCCTTGTAGGTTCATTATTATAGTCAGTCATATCATTTGCAAATAGATAGTTTTATTTCCTTTTTTTCCAAACTGTGCGCTTTATTTTCTTGCCTTATTGGAATAGCTAGAACTGCAAGGCCTGTATTAAATAAGGGTGGTAATAATGGACATCCTTTTTAGCAATTTTAGGGGGAAAACTTTCAGGATTTGGTATTTTATCATAAAATATATTAGCTCTAGGTTTTCTGTACATGCTCTTCATGCTCTTTAGGAGTTTGAGGAAGTTCCCTTCTCTTCCTAATGCCCTGAGAGTTGTTTGTTTTTTTTTAAATATTTTATTTATTTATTGGACAGAGAGAGATCACAAGTAGACAGAGAGGCAGGCAGAGAGAGAGGGAAGCAGGCTCCCTACTGAGCAGAGAGCCCGATGCGGGACTCGATCCCAGGACCCCGAGATCATGACCTGAGCCGAAGGCAGCGGCTTAATCCACTGAGCCACCCAGGCGCCCCGAGAGTTTTTTTTTTTTTTTAATTCAATTAATTAACATAAAATGTATTATTTGTTTCAGGAGTGCAGGTTTGTGATTCATTAATCTTCACAATGCCCAGTGCTCACTGAAACACATACCCTCCCCAGTGTCTATCACCCAGTTACCCTATCCTTCCACCTTCCTCCCCTCCAGCAACTTTCAGTTTGTTTCCTATGAGTAGGAGTCTCTTATGGTTTATCTCCCTTACACTGAGAGTTGTTTTAATCATAAATGGTTATTAATAGGATCATGGGATTTTTTTCTTCCTTAGTTGTTGATATGATGGATTACATTGATTTTTAAGTATCGAACCAGTCTTTCACACCTGGAATAAATCCCACTTAGTCATAGTCTTTTTATACATCATTGAGTTTGATTGGTAAAATTTAATTGTGGATTTGGTAAAATTTAATTGTGGATTTTTTTCATCTAAGTTCATGGTGGGTGTTGGTCTGCAGTTATTTTGTGTATGCTGCCTTTGGTTTTGGTATCAGAGTAATCATGGCCTCATAAAGTACTTTGGAAAGTGTTCTCTTCTGTTTTCTGGAAGAAACTTGTTACAAGATTCTGGGAATGTTTGGTAAAATTCTTCAGTGAAGCCATGTGGACTTGGAGATTTCTTTTTTGGGAACTTCTAAATTATAAATTTGATTTATTACTATTTTTTAAAGATTTTATTTATTTGAGAGAGGACAAAGAGAACATGAGCAGGGGGAGGGGCAGAAGGAGAGGGACTGGCAGATTCCCCACTGAGTGTGGAGTCAGATGCAGGGCTCAATCCCAGGACCCTGAGATCATGACCTGAGCCAAGTCAGATGCTTAACTAACTGAGACACCCAGGCACCCCAGATTTGATTTCTGTAATAGTTACCAAACTACTCAGATGACCTATTTCATGTTGGCTAAGTTTTGGTAGTTTCAGATTTTCAGGGAATTGGGCCCATTTCTTCTAAGTTTTCAAGGTTATGAATGTAAGGTTATATGTTTCTTTTTTTTTTTTTTAATTTTTTTAAAGATTTTATTTATTTATTTGACAGAGATCACAAGTAGGCAGAGAGGCAGGCAGAGAGAGGAAGGGAAGCAGGCTCCCCGCTGAGCAGAGAGCCCGATTCGGGGCTCGATCCCAGGACCCTGGGATCATGACCCGAGCCAAAGGCAGAGGCTTTAAGCAACTGAGCCACCCAGGCTCCCCGGTTATATGTTTCTTAATAACCTTATAATTCATTGTGTGTATATATGTATATAATCCATATATGTGTGTCCTCATAGTCCTTAATTTTTTTTGTTGTTGAGACTTCCTCTTTCACCCATGGATTATTTAGAAGTGTGTTATTTGGAGATGTCTGGAGTTTTTCCTGTTGCCTTTCTTTTATTGATTTATACTTTAATTCCATTATGGTCTCATGTGAAAGAAGGAACATGTTTCCTTCCCTTATGTTTGATCCCAGTAGCAATTTCAGAGGTTCCCAAGACCACCCTTAGATAATTCACTAAAGAAGTCAGAACTCACTGAAAGCTGTCATCCTCACAGTTACAGTTTTTTACAGCAAAGGGATACAGATTAAAATCAGCCAAGGGAAGAAACACATGGGTAGAGCCCAGGATATTTCCAGAAATGGAGCTTCCAGTTGCACTCACCCAGTGTAGTCACGGACAATGCTAACTTTTCCCGTCAACTGTGTGTAACTATACCATGTAGCATTGCCAGATAGGGAAACTAACCTGAATACTGGTGTCCAGAACTTTTTTGGGCTCTGGGTTGGCTGCCCAAGTGGTTGGCCTTTCTGTTTCCAGCCTCTCAGGAGGTAGAGCTAATACCTTTAGATTCCTGCCTCTCTGGAGGAGAATTGGTACCACACGGCTCAAAGCCTACATCATAAATCCCATTGTTAGACTGTCTGGTAGCTATGGTCCTAAACAAAAACGTTGTAGAGATTTTCTCCCTGGAGATGAAGACAAAAGACAGATTTCTCTTTGGTGAAGTTTAAATTCTTTACTATACATATACTCTGGGTGACTTTGATTCTTTTAAATTTAAGATTTGCTTTACAACTTAGAATAAGGTCTGTCTTGGGGCGCCTAGTGGCTCAGTCATTAAGTGTCTGCCTTCGGCTCAGGTCATAACCCCAGGGTCCTGGGATCAAACCCCGCATCCCGCTCCTGGCTCAGTGGGAAGCCTGCTTCTCCTTCTCCCACTCCTCTTGCTTATGTTCCCTCTCTCGCTCTGTCTCTCTCTGTCAAATAAACGTAAAAAAACTTCAAAATGAGACATTAAAAAAAAAAAGAATAAGGTCTGTCTTGGGGAATGTTCATTGTGTGCTTGAAAACATTGTGTATTCTGCTGTTGTTGGGTGACATGTTCCATTCAGTTCTTCTATATCCTTGCTGATTTTCTGTCTGGTAGTTGTATCAGTTGCTGAGAGCAGGGCATTTGAATCACCAGGTATAATAGTGCTTTGTCTCTTTCTCCTTTCAGCTCTATCAGTTTTTGCTTCATGTATTTTGAAACTCTGTCAGTGGTACTTACTAGTTTTCTTTATTCTGAATCTATTTTATCTGATATTAATATAGCTATTTCTACTTTCTTTTTAAAATTTCTACTTTCTTGGGCGCCTGGGTGGCTCAGTGGGTTAAGCCACTGCCTTCGGCTCAGGTCATGATCTCAGGGTCCTGGGATCGAGTCCCGCGTC